GAAAAAAAGAAAAAAAGAAAAAAAAAAAAAAAAGGAAAAAAAAAAATTAAAAAAAAAAAAAAAAATTTTTTAAAAAAAAAAAAAAAAGGAAAAAAGAGAAGAAGAAAACCAAGCAAGTTTCGCCAGGATCACGGATGAAAGCAAAAAGCGCACATGCTAACAAGGACTGTTCATGTTTCAGGTGCTCTTTCCTTTTCAGATCCAACACGCACGCAGAAAGGTGACTGCTGTTCTGTGCTGTGGTCTATCCAAACACTAGCTTCTGTCTGTTCAGTCCCTACATTAATGCTCCATAATGGGATAATGGTACCTTTTTTTTTTTATTTTTAATTGTTATAAACCTTCATCTTTTCATAAATGCTGCTACCTTTTCCTCATCAGTTTTGTTGGTTGAAAAAGGCATTCAACGTTTAAATGTGAAGCAGAGACTGAAAATGCCATGTAGGGTTTGTTGGGAGCTTGATTGGCTGAAATTGCACAGATTTCTCAGAGTAAGCTGTAAATAAATGTCAGGTTAATGTTACAGAGGAAGCCAGAGGCTTGGGGGTGTGTGAATGGGTGTGTGTGTGTGTGTGTGTGTGTGCATGGAGATGTCTGCAGTGAGACTATAGGTGACCTGTCCTGCCTTTCCATCAGGGGTGAGCCTGAACAAGTCCCCAACGCCAGCCACCCCGGGGACATCAGGGCAGCCATGGCCTGGGCTTTGCCTTGGGCTCATCGCTGATGGTCGCCCGCCATGCTGGTATATTGGGGGATCAAAGCCTCAGCACCCAGACAAGGGAGAGTGGGTACTGCAATCATTGCTAACAGAGTCAGTTGTTTAGTCCCAGAATTGTGGCGCAACGCGTGACCTTTCAGGATCTCTCATAGATTGGTTTGTCTGTCTAGTGTCCAAAAAACCTCTGGAGCTGAAAGTAAGTAGGAAATAAGCCTCAGATATTCCGTAGAAATCTTACCTTCCTTTGAAGGGTACACTGCACCTCATGTTCATTATAAGATTTTATTCCTGTTGATGGGAAACAGTCTGATGTGTTACTCATGTGGATTTTCCTTGATTCTCCCAGCCTTGCCAGTGCTTTACAGGGCCTGTCTGCCCTGGCCTTGAATGGGGAGATTCCTGCTGTGATAGGAGCAGGCCAGACCTCCCCCAGTTACTCAGTAACTTGCCCTGGGTGGTCCCATCCTGCAGTAAGTGCAGACGTGGTGGGCAGTGCCCCTGAGCACGGGCTGCACCCTGTCCTCCCCCATCTGCAGCATGGCAATGAGTGCTGCTCTGAGCTCCAAAGGCATGTTTTGGAGTGGTTTTTCGATCTGTTTTGTCCTTGTAGATGTACTGAGGTGAAGTTTGCACTTCAAGAGGTTCCATTTAAAAATGAGCCAAAATATGGAATTAATGTTTCTGGGGGTGTGATCTAGGAGTGTTGCACGACTGTTTGGGTATGGGCAGGATCAGTTATTTCAGCCTGCATTGAGTCTCTTCTGCTTCAAATGTAGAGGTAGTTTGTACTAAGCCTTTGTAATTGACTTATAGGGAAATTGCAATGTAATTATAAAATGCAAACGTCATCTGCATAACTAAAATCTCCTCCCCGTAGAGCAAAAGCACAGCTGTAATCTCATTCCTTTTCAAATTAGTGACAATTGCTGTCGAACCGCAGCTCCCCATGATCAGAGGGTACAACCTTACAAAAGAGTTTCCTGGAAAGTGTTGCCACCCTTGCTGGGAACTGCCATGCCTGTCCCACGGCTGGGGGCTTGGTGTAGGTTGGGCCTCTGTGCTGGAGTTCCTGCTTTAGACAGGGCCTGCAAGAGCCCTGCTGTGCCTGCACTGCTGCCTGAGGGAAGGGAACCGGCCCTGAGGTTGGGCAGCCTGTAGTCTCATCTGTGCTGTTGTTCAGTTTTGTTGTTTCCTATGGTCTTGAGGGTTTCCCCTTCTCTCAGTGAGTCTGTCCAGCAACTGGGTAGTTGTGGGCCAGAACCTGTGAGCAGTGTCTCATTGAGCATAGGCAGTGCATTGAGCTCCTGTGGCAGGAGATTTTGGGGATTAAGCCAGCTACTGTGTCCCTTTTCTTTAAATGAGGCTCCTATCATGTTGATGCTTCAGTTGGCATCGCTACAGCTGGGTCTTTTGCTTTCAAAGCATTGGGAACGCTCAGCTGTTGTTTCGGAATGAAGCCCTGCCCTTGTTCTCAGCCTCCTTCCTCTCAAGTCCACCAAACCTGGATGTTAACATGGCTCTGTGGGGGAAAAGTCCCACGTGTGCCCAGCCCCGAGGAGCCCGACAGCAGCTCTGTGTTCCCCAGCCTGTCCGTGTGCTTGGAATGGGGCACAGGCTGCTGTGTGTGCAGGGACAGACCCTGGTCTCCTGAGGCAAGGCCTGCAGCTTGGGTTCCTTCAGGGAGTTGGGAGGAGCACCAAAGGGAATTGGATGCCAAAGGCCTTCAGCACCAAAGTCACTTGGGTGCTTCTGGAACTGCCTGTGACCCATTGCTCTGTAGGATCGCAGCTGGATAAGCCAACCCTGAGCCTTCTCTTTCCTTCCTGCCCCTGCAGCTCCTCCGAGAGCCGCCCCGTCCCCGATGGGTTCTGGTGATGGTTCCCAGCAGGGCTGAGGAGCTGCAGATGCAGGTGGAGAAGGCAGCCCATAGAGATGTTTTCTGACCCCAGGCGCTTTGCCTCGTGCTCCACGGGGCTGGGGTGGGAGGAGGACACTGGAGGGGCAGAGTGCTGGTGGTGCAGCCCCTGGGCCAGACCCAGCATTCACCATCATGACGGGCGTGGAAATGCTGCCGTGGCCGTGCAGCACTCGCAGCACTGTGGGTCCCACAGGGGTCCCAAGCAGTGGCTGTGGAGGCAGGAGGGGATGGGGCTCATCTTGCAGATATTTGTATTGTATAGAGCAGCTTATTTCTACAGACAAACATTTTTAAACTCCAACAAAGTATGCAGTAATTTCAGTTCCGGTTTTTGTGACTTTTTTCAGGGATCATTTCAGTGCATTTCTGTATAAAATAAAAATTTAAGGAAAAAAAAAGGATTTTGAAGTCTATTAGAAAAAAAAAGCATCTTCTGTACATAGGCAAACAAGAATCTTCTCTTCAAACACTGTTTCTTGTAGAAACATGTTGAAATTTTTTTGCTGATTTCTTTGTACTTCAAGAGCATGTAAATAATTTATTAAAAGTGACTATTGTAATTTGGAGTTCTTTTTAAACAGATCCCAGCTCTGTTTCACGGCAAGGAGATGGGGAGGAAGAAGGACTGAGGATAGCAAAGGAGCTGGTGGCATTTACAGCTTGTGTCAAGCTTTGTATAATGTAAATTCTGTACAAATACGGGGGTTTTGTTTTTGGCTTTTTTTTTTGTTGTTGAATAAATAGATGGAATTAGCAGCATTAAGAAACTGAAGACAAAAATTTGCCAAGTCGAGGCTTCTTCCTTGCCCCTCCCCCCGGTCTGAAACCTAATGTGCAAAATCTATTTATTTCAAGCGAGGAAATGTGTACAGTCTAATAGACATCCTGCAATGTATTTAAGCGAGTTTGCAACTGGATTTTTTTTTTTTTTTTTTCATTTTAATATTTGTTTTTATGAGTTTCCTCCTTAATTGCCACTGTAGTATTTGTTTGAGTGAAAAGAAACACGTTGTGGCGGACGCACAGGGGCAGGCGGTGAGGACGTGGAGTTGCTCCCTGCAGCGCTCCGGTTCCGTGACAGGTTGTTTTATTTCACGGTGTGAAAACAAAGGGCTTCCTTTAAAAGGGGGCAGGTAAAATGGTTTGCAATAAATGAATTATTATTTTTTTAATTTCCTTAAAAAAAAAAAAAAATCTCTGCTTTGAAGATTTAGGGTTTCTGCTTTTTCTTTTTTTAAGCAAATTTATAAATTTAGGGATGTTTTGTGCATATAGAATCCGTCACCAGTATGTATCTTGTTTTGAAGAAAGTGTTTTTGTTGTGGATGTGTCATGCTGTATATATTTGTTCATATTTTTGTGAATTGAATACTATGTACCATTGTATTATAGTAACTTTTATAAAGCAAACCATAAATATACTGACTTTTCTTACAGAAAAATTATGTTGTGCTTCATGTGTAGTCGGGGCTTTGTGCTCCTGGACCTGTGCTGGGAACTGGGAGAGCTGAAAGTGTCCATCAGAGCAGGCAGGAACTGACATGAAGCATCGTCACACAGCTGTGGCACGGAGGAAGTGTGCGAGCTGGTCAAGTTTGTGACCTTCAAGCTGCATTAGCACTAAGGCTCTGACACAGCCCTGCACTGAAGTGAAGCCCCCATGCATGGCTGGTGCTAGAGCAGTTGCACTACGTGTGCCTGCATGGAATCCCACCTTTGCAGATACCAACTTCAATGTTTTCTGGCCTGAGTTTTGGAAAAAGAGATGCCCAAGGCAGAGGTGGATGCAGCAGCTGATAGAGGAGGAAAAGAAGCTCGTGCTGCTGTGTCTTCTCCTAGTTTGTCTCTTCCTGACTACAAGGGGGATGGGACCCATAGAGATGGTGCTGCCAGCATTGGAGCTGGGGGCATGGATGGGCTCATGCTGTGTCCTAGGAGCCTGAACCATAGGCTCTGCTCAGGGCTTTGCTTCCATTCTGTGAATGAAGGGAGCTGCAGTGGGTGCTGTGAGGATTCAGAGTGCAGGTGCGTGTCAGCAGGGAGACCCAGGGCCACCAAAGCACCCTGAGATGTTCTTCAGATGTTCCGATGTCTGCAGGTCCACAGGGAACATTCGAGGTTCATGAAATCATTGAATGGTTGGGTTGGAAAGGACCTGAAAACCATCCAGTTCCAACCTCTGCCAAGGGCTGGTTGCCCTCCGCTGGAGCAGGGTGTGCAGAGCCCCATCCAGCTGGCCGTGGGCACCTCCAGGGCTCAGCAGGTATTTATTAGCAAGGCGTGTGACACAATGACAGCAGCTCCTGTCCTGGAGCCTCAGCTCTTCCCTGGCCCCCAGTGACCGCAGCACAGACTCAGCAGCACTCAGCTGTGACAGATGGATTTATTATGGCGGGGGGGAGAGTCCCCATGCAAGGACTGTGACAGCACCCAGGGGGCGGGCAGTGGCCACAAAGCCAGCAATGTGTGGAGACACTCTGGAGATATTCCAGCCTTTGTTAGTTCAGGAGTTGCCAGGTCCCAGAGCAATGCCACGTTACACTGGTGGGAAAGCTGAAGCCCATACCTTTGTTCACCTCATTCTAGAACGCTGTGGCTGCCCTAAAATCATGACTCAGGATTGAACCTGCATGTGTGCCACGAGTCTGTGCTGTATTTGGGACTCGGGGGCTTGGAGGGGGTTGTGCTGGGGTGAAGGCATTGGCCACGTTCCCTCCCCATGTGATGGGTCCTTCCTTGCCCATCACAGCTTGGCAGCAACATCCTGTTTGTCACGTGTAAGTTTGGGCTGTTGACAAAGCACAGCCAGTTCCCACTTTGTTTGTGATTCAGCTCCTCGTGGCCCAGTGCCACCGGCAGCCCGCACACCGCCTCTACATGCGCTTGGTCTCTCCTTTGGGGCTCAGGACAGTCAGGTTGCCTCGTGCATCCTGGTCAATTTCAATGGCTTCAAACAAGGACTTGAAGTTCCCGGCACCAAAGCCCTGTAGGAGGATGGCATTACCCACGTTATGCCCTTAGTGTTCATCACAGCATCGTGGTGCTGGTGGCACTGGGTGCCGTGAGGTCCTCAGGCTGCCACTCAATGCTAAGGCTGCCTCTATTACTTTTAGCAGTGAAACCCTCCAACCAACCTGGTGGTTGTGCCGCTGGATGACCTCCAGGAACACTGTGGGTCTGTCTTGAACTGGTTTGGTGAAGATCTGGAGCAAGTATCCCTTCTCATCAAAGTCCACCAGGATTTTCAGTTCCTGGAGATAAGCAATAGGGAAACAGCTCTGAGATCCATCAGGAACAAGGGGATGGCCTTGCATCGCCCGGCTGCGCCCAACCCACCTCCAGCTCCTGCTGCCCCTGGACTCACCTCCAGCTTGTCAATGCTCTCCTTCACTTTGATCTTGGCAGTTTTCAGCCTCTCCCGCAGCAGTTGGTAGTAGCTGGATGGCACGTCCATGAACTGCATGCCACGCTGCTTCAGGTTGGTGATCTGCAAACCAGGAGCTTTGGGTTGGGCACGTGAGGACAGGAGGTATTGAGATGCAACTCAACACTTCCCCATTGCATTGTCCCCAGCGGTGCACGAGGACCTGTCCCACTCTGTCCCTTTGGGCCCAGCGTGGAGTTGGCCACCACACGAGGACTCCAACCATGAGGCATCACCCCCTGTGACAGGTCCCTGAGTGGGGCTGCCCCGGGGCCACTCACCGCCGAGATGATGTCGGGGGTGTTGAGTGCGATGTGCTGCACTCCGGCCCCTCCGTAGTAATCGATGTATTCCTGCAGGGAAACATCTCACTGCAGTGCCGGTGTGGCTGCAGCGCCAGCCCCGTCCCATCTCCTTCACCCCAGCCCTGTGCTGGTGGCGGTGACGGCCCGATCGCTGTGCTCACCTGAATCTGGGATTTCTTCTTGCCGTGTGCCGGTTCGTTGATGGGCATCTTGATGGTCTCCTCATAGTTGGTGACCACGATGGAGCGCAGGGCGCTGAACTCGGTGTGCAGCTGCTTGTCATCCACCGACCAGAAGCGGTGGAAGAGGAGGTTCTTCTGGTACCTACCCACCCACAGCAGCCATGTTGCAGCCCCTCACGCTAATGAACCTCTGCTCTGTGCTAATTGCCCTCGGCCTCCCCCCAGCCTGCCCTGCTCTCACCAGTCTGCTACCGGCACCATCTGGAGGTCGGGTTGGTTCCCCACTACATGGTCCACAAAGCTCAGCTTGGCGCTTGGCCTGCAGGGACACGGGGCAGCACTCAGCCCTGATGGCAGTCGGGTGGTGTGATCCATCCCCATATTGGGACCCTGTGCTACTCACAGCCTGGGCAGCAGTGGGTCTCTGAAGAGGGGCGCGTGGTACCCAGGCAGGAAGAGCCCTTTGTAGTTGATCTTCTCCACCAAGGTGTGCGTTGTGTCACCGTACTGCGGCAAGGAGGAAGAGGCTCTGTGCCCATTGCTGCGATGTGCAGACTGCACTGCGTGTGGGGGGGCTCAGTGCCCTCATCACTCACCGTCTGGATGACAGCGAACTTCACCTTCCCAAACTTGTCCTCCTCCACCCAGGGCTCCTTCACCACCACCGCTCCACGCTCCTTGGCTTTCTGAGCAGAGGAGAGTGCCTGTCCTGCCACGTGCCCCCGGGGCCCTTCCCACACCAATGTGGGGATGTGCAGCCATGATACCCAGCAGCCCCAAAATCACTCCTTTTTCCCCAAACTCACCATTTCAGGGCGCCCGCTGTACCTCGCACGCGCTGCCTACCTGCACGATGAAGTCACAGTCCTCCACCTCAAAGGCCACGTCCTTCACACCATCCCCGTGCTTCACCATGTGCTCACCCATCTCTGCCGGCAGCCGACGTCAGCGGGGACACCGCAGAGCGCCCACATCCCGGCCCCAGACCTACAGACCTACCTTCATTGCCCGGATTGAGCGCCGACGAGAGGACAAAAATGATCTGGGGTGGAAGAGGATGGGAGGAAGGGTTGGTGATGGGAGGAATGATCTCACCACCGGTGCTCAGCGCATCCCGCAGCACTGCACACCTTGTCCTGCTTGATGACGTGTGACACCACCTCCCTGCTGCCGGTCTCCAGCCCGCGGTACGCCAGCTCCTCGAAGCCCAGCTTGTTGCAGTAGTACGAGGCGGCCTGCGGCACAGCACGGCGTGTGCATGGCTGTGCGGTGCGTATGGGGGCACTGGCTGCTCCCCGCACAGCCTTTCACCCCGCTCTGTGTGCAGCGGAGCATGACGCATTTTTGCTCTCCCTTTGCATTTCTGCCCCATGCACGCCCCTGACATCCACCTCCCCCTTGCGCAAGGGCTCAAGGCCGGGGCCCCGGGCCAGGGCTGCTGTCAGCACACACACACAGCCTTGCCATCCCCCAGCAGCCAATGACAACCGCCACCACCCCTGCGGCCTCCTACCTGCTTGGCATTGCCCACCCAGAAGGTGATGGAATGGAAGTGGATGAAGCGGCCTCGCTGGTGCTAAAGGGAAGGGGAAAAGAAGTTGTATGTGCTGCAATTCCTGTGGGTTGTGATTCCTTTGGGTACAGTTCCTCCAAATGGAATTCTTCCCAATGCAATTCCTGCAAGTGCACCCCAGTGACATGGATGAATCTCTGGCTCCCTGCCCTGATGATTTTTTGTAGTGTTTTCCATGCAGGCTGTTCTGTACACAAGGCACAGCGTTGGCTCTGGTTGCATGGAACAAAGTGGCTGCAAAGCATCCGGGTATCAGCCAAGAAGTGAGCCCAGGGGCATCTGGTCCTATAGAAATGTGCAGTGGGAGGTTTGGGGTTTGGGTCACAGAGAAGGAGATGGCAGCTGCAGCCCAACCCTGCCACATGCCCTCATTAACCCTGCAGCGTTAACGATTCACCTGCAGCAAAGCACCTAGCACTTCTCCACCACCACACCAGGAGAACCGCGGGGCAGCTATGGGGCTCCCAGTGCTGAGCACAGGATGGAATGCAAACCCGAGCAGGGAGCAGGGAGGCACTCACCTTTTCCCCTTTGTCTGTGTACGTCGTCTGCAAGAGAAGTGGGAGAAGCAGTGAGCGGGGTGCGAGGCTGAGGGGAAACACAGGGAATTTCTCCCACAATAGTGCAGTTCTGTGCCTGCTCCCCAGCCCTCACCATGCTGTGACCCTGCAATGTGGCAGCAGCAAAGAAAGCGTGACCCTGAGTGCAGGGCTGATATACAGCAAAGGTGCTCCTCCTCCACCCCACCCCGTCCCGAGGGCACTGCCCAGCGCTGGGGACAGCAGTGGTGGCAGCAGGACAGGTGGGCGGTGGCACAGTGTCACCGATTGCACAGCCAAAGTCATCCCACGGCAATGACACTGTGCTGCCGCTCATGGGATGGCACAGCTGCGCGACCCCAAGCAGTGCACAGCCGTAACGCTGTCACTCTATGGCAATGACACTGCTGTGTGACCCGTGGCACTGCCATCACCCTGCTGGTGGTACTGCCGCGTCACTCCACAGAACGGCACAGGTGTGTCACCATGTAGCAGTGGCACTGCTGCATCAATCCGCTGGAGCTGCCGTCCCCACATCACCCTACGGCAGCGGCACAGCTGCATCACCCCGTGGCACCGCCACAACACCCGCCATCCCCGCCGTCACCCCTCGGCACCGATAACCTCGGCCTCCCCACGCGCTGCCCCCTGGCCCCGCCCCCAGCGCCGTGACCCCGCCCCCTCGTGCTCTGACCCCGCCCCAATGTTCTCACCTCCGACAGCGGCACTTCCGGTCCCGCCCCCTCATGCTCCGTGATGCACTTCCTGCCGCCGCAGCGCGGTGCGTACTGCCGCCATGTCGGAGGACGGGCCGAGCCGCGCCGTGACGCTGAGCGAGGTGCAGCAGTTGGTGCGGCGCAAAGACGAGCTGGAGGCGCAGATCCGGGCCTGCTACCAGCTGCTGGAAGACGTGAGCGGGGCGCGGGGCCGGGCGCGGGGCTCGGGGCGCTGCCGGCGGTCTCACCGCGGCCTTTCTCTCCTCAGCAAAAGGGCGTGGGCATGGACGGGCCGCTGGTGGACGCCGAGGGCTTCCCCCGGGCCGACATCGACCTGTACCAAGTGCGCACCGCGCGGCACAGCATCGCCTGTGAGTGGGGCCGGGCTGTTCGGCGTTGGCTGTGGGCGGGAAGCGGCGTGCGGGTCTCCTCGGGCTGCGAAGAGGGGCTCAGGAAGAACTTATCGCTGAAAGGAAAGTGTGTGGGGGAGGTCGGCCTTTGCTCTCGGATGAGCGGGAGGACGAGAGGCGGCAGGCTGGCATTGCGCCGCGGTGGGGGCAGGTTGGATACGTTTCCTCTCCCAAAGAGCAGCCCAGGGAGGTGGGGGGTTACGAGAGGTGTTGAAGAGCTGTGGGAACGTGGCACAGAGGGACGTGGGGAATGGGCTGGGGTGGGTTGTGGTGGTCCGTGTTGGTCCTTTCCAGCCATAGCAGTGCTACGATTCTGCTTCTTACTGAGCTTGGTGCCACCCGCAGGTCTGCAGAATGACCACAAGGCTCTGATGAAGCAGGTGGAGGAGGCTCTTCACCAGCTGCATGCCCGGGAGAAGGAGAAGCATGCCAGGGACGAGGCGGAGGCGCGGGCTGAGGCCATGAGCCAGAGCCTGCCGCCCGCCTTCGCCAAAGTCAATGCTGTGACTCCAGAGTCTCCTGCCAGCACCTCGGTACTTTGCTGGGGATGGCAGTGGGGAGGGCTTCTTTTGGACCTAGGGAGGGGAAATAGAGGATGCATTGCTTTTTTTTCTCTGCTAACAAGCAGGAATAAGCTGTGAGATACTGATTATTATTATTATCCCACTCCCACTTTCTTCATTTTAAGTGTTTGTCAAATATTCAGTCACCTTCTCAACCAGTGTAGTTATTCTTGAAAGCTCCCATGGAGGGAGCTGCCCACATGTGGCAGTGTCACTGGGTTGGGATCAGAAAGTGCATGCTGTCTGTTGTGTCATGGCACCACACAGCTCTTACATGGCCTTGATGTCCATTGCAGCCTCAGTGTTTCTTTTCTTGTAAAATAGGGCAGAGAAATGAGTACAATACTTGTTTCTAAGGGAGAGGGCATATTTTTCAGTTGTCTGAATGCTGAGAAGTATGGTGTCCTAGCACAGCTTATGTGGCTGGAAGAAGTCTCCTGTGAGCAGGCAGCATTACCTGTCATCAGAGAGCACAGATGCTCAGCTTCTTTGTCTGTCCAGGGCCTTCAGGTTGATGATGAGATTGTGGAGTTTGGTTCTGTCAATGTGCACAACTTCAAGAGCCTGCAGAACATTGCCACAGTAGTACAGCACAGTGAAGGGGTAAGTTTGCTTTTGCTGTAACTGCATTCTCTTACCTCTCCCAGTGAGCTACAGCATTTACTGTGGAATGGTCAGAGAAGCTGCCACAGCCATCGGGTACCTTATAATGGAAGTGAGAGAGCTCATCTTTCTTTTCTTTTTCATTTCTCCCAGAGACCTCTGAGTGTGACTGTGATCCGCAACGGCAAGAAAGTGCACCTGGGGCTGACTCCGAAGCGCTGGGCAGGGAAGGGCCTCTTGGGGTAGGCTGCCAGTCAGAGCAGAGGGGGCTCCTGCTAGCCCAGGATGCTTCCTGCAGCAGAGCCAGCTGTGATGTGTCTCACTGGCAGGTTCCAGCTGAGAGCTGGGGCTGTCAGTTTAGTAGTCATATGGGATGATGAGTTGTATCAAGTATGGGTATGGGGCTGAAGATCTCAATGGCTAGTTCCTCTAGTGGAGGAAACCAATGGGGAGGGTTGTGTTTGATAGATTCACAGGGTCAGATCATCTGAGCTTCTTTCAGAGCTGAAACAAATGTTTTCTTCTCCACTCTTCTTTTTCAGCTGCAATATCGTTCCTTTGCAGAGATGACCACTGCTCAGAAGACAATAAAGACGAAGCTTGTGCCTGCTTTCTGGACTCTGATTTGATTTGAAAGCTTGCCTTATGATCTTTGTTTTTGCTGAAATGAGCGTTTCAGAGGCAGTGACCTCTGGGTGGCTGGGCTTGCAGAGTCTGAAGAGATTCTAATGGAGCAGGGCCTTAACGCAGTTGGAATTGCACTGGTTTGTGAGGAGCAACTCGCAGAGTTGCAGGATGTGGTTTCTCATCTCTTGTGCCTTGCATCAGTTTGGAGTAAGGCTGGAGTGTAACTTACATTTCACTTGATACTGATTTGGAAGAGCATACAATGCTTTTATTTGGTGATAACATGGCATTCCTTCTTCTTTTTTTTTTTTTTTTTTATCTCCCTGAAATTCCTCACTGAACATCTTGTAAAATAGGATTAAAAGTCCTGGAACAATTTTTTCTTTTTTTAACATAGTAGATCACAGTGAAGAAACGTGCAAATCTGGTACTTTATCTTTCCCTTGTGACCATAGCTGTTGGAAGTCACTAAGTAAGATAGCATTTTTGGAATGTCTGATTATTTTAAGTTAATGAAATAAGCATTGGGGTTATAACTCTGTCTTCAATTGTATTGAAGTACTCCTACATTTTTTTTAATTTGCTGCAGTTGATTTTAGGATGTATAAACACTTCAGGGGGGTGTTTGGGTGATCTTGTTTGAAGGTTGTTTCCAGTTGAACTTTGAAATACTTATCCCAATGAATAAAACTGAGTAATGTCTCTCTCCGTTCTTGTGGAAGTTGCTGTTTGGGGGCAGTAATTGTGGGCCATGTCAGGTGTGTTAAAAGCAGATCTGCAGAGGCATAAAAGCATTCTTCCATGACCTTCTGCAGCCAAAGATTTGTTTGGTGCAACAAAGCAGAATGTAGTTGTAAGCGTGTGGATGAGTGGTGTACTGGCAGCTCTAATGTCAGATCAGCTGGAGCCTGGCCTTGGCCTTGTGTGCTCGAGGTACGTGTCTTCGTACCCCAGGTATGCAGCTGTTGCCTGAGCTGCAGGCGGATCTGGGTCTGCATGCTGGTCGGGAAGAACAGCTTCCAGGCCTTTGTGTGGGTGCCTCCTGGGATGAAGTGCCCTAAAAAGTCCTGTCTTTCCCTATTGCTCGTGCAGTGAGGTTAATGGGTCATCCCAGCACAACGGAGTGAGCTAACTCCTGCTCTCAGGGGACTCATTCCCCTCTCACTGTGGAGTGTGACGCTGCAGTGACTTGACAAAGCTCTGTGGAGCTCTGTAGAAGTGCATGTCCTGGCTGTGCGCTCTGGTCACTGTTCCCATTGGTGATAGGACTGGATCAACTCCAGCAAGTAAAAAAACACCGTTCTGTTGCAGAGCATCATCTTGCACTCAGTAAAAATGTTTTTTTGGGACTGCCCCTGTTTATTCACCACTGATTGTTTTCAGTCCACTTCCTTGGGTCAGAACTTTGTTCCTTAAGCCATAATTCCCCACTCACCCGATGCAGCAGGTTGGATGGAGCGCACGGCAGCTGCGCGGCAGCTCCTCAGGTTGCCGAGATGGTTCGTGCTGATAACAGAATTGCTTTCCTCTCCCAGCAGGGCACCGGGCTCGTGCTGGGCAGAAGGAAAAACAAATTAGATTTAGAAATTGTTATTATTTGAGCTTAATAGCGTGTCTGAAATCGGCAGCTGGGAGAGCCTGGAGCTGATTAGAAGGCAGCAATGACTCGGGGTGGTGGCAGAGAGCTGCATCCCCGTGTGGGCATCATCCTGATGGAGTGTTTTGTGCAGAGGGTCAGTGCTGCCTCTGTAGGGCAGCCGGTGGGGATAAGAAGGGGAGGCGGAACAGATGCAGAGTGGATGAGCCCCTCTCACAGCGCTTTCCAGTCTGTTGCTGGCAGCAGCCGTTGCAGCTGTTGCCTGGGGAACAGCAGTTGGATGCAAACAGAAGCGTCAGGCGCAGGGAGAGCCTGATCAGGGCTGGGCAGCAGGGCTCTGCCTGCCTGCTGGTGCTCAGGAAAAGTGTTCCTGGGACTGAAAGGGTGCTCCGGGACCCATGGGACCCAGCATCCCACGTGCCCTGTCCTCCTCCTGTGGCCAACTGGAGTAAAAACATTTTGGCGGCTTCTTGGACAGAGGCTGGAGGTGGAGATGGCTGGTTCAAGTGACACTGCACCGAAGGAGTCGTCCCCAGATGGACAGATGCATCGAGAGGCAGCAGTGCCACCCCAGCAGGTGAGGGCAAGCTGTGCCTGGTGCAGGGTGCCTGGACCCCGTCCCAGTGCTGGGACAGTTTGTCACCGGTGTCCCCTGGGGACACAGAATGGGGATCTCATGCTGCAGTGTCTTCCCTTGCTTGGGGATGGGATGAAAAACAGCCCCATGGGTGTCATTTGGAGCTGCAAATTGCAGAGTTCAGGTGAATGGCAATTTCCATTCAGCTCCTCCCATTTCCCTTTCAGATATTAGGTGTTATTATTTGTTACTGTTCTGTAGGCTCAGCCCAGCTGTCAGTATTTGCTGAGCACTTGAGCTGCCTCTGAGTTATGTGTGTGATGTGATCCTGACCTTGGGCTGAATTAAATGTTACCTGACCTCACCTGGAACCATGGCTACAGCATCCATGCTAAGCTCACACCATGGAGAAAGCAAGGGGCTCTGTGGGAAGAAGCAGAAACTGATCTGGAGCCACAAGAGAAGGGACTCAGAGCAAGGAACGCTTCCTTGGATCCCCGCTGGGATGTTTAACTCATTTATGAGAGGCAGTGGGATTTTTCTGCTTTCATTTTTTAGCTGCTTACCAGTCAGCACATTTCAGCAGATCCCTTTTTGTCTCTCAGCCCTGTCCCATGACACGATCCCCTTTTTTTCACTCCGTTTTGCCATCATACCTTTATCCATCTGTAACTGGTGTGTAGGACATGGCAAGGGGAACAGCAAAAAGAGCAGCTTCAGGTCCAGGAGCAGCACGGACTCCAGCATCTCTCCGTTCCCAGGACTCCATGGCTGCTGCCCAGGAAGATGGAGCTCTGGGAAATGCTGCAGCAGCTGCACCTCAGAGGGCTCCTGGTGAGCTGGAGGAGCGCAGCGATGCTCCCAGCCGTGTGTGGGGTGCACAGCCTGGCCTGCTATTCCAGGGAGAGAAGCAGAGCTGCCACCCTCTCGTGAGTATTACTGGCCAGGAGAGCAGCCCTGGGACACCCTGCTCTGCCCCGTTACCCCGGGGATTTGGAGCAGTCTTTCTCCTACTACTAAGAACCTCTTCTCCCCACAGAGCCTGTCCTGGGCACTGGGCTACAACAGCAGCCTGGCTGTGCATAGCATTGAAGATGGGATGCTGCTGTATGTCTGTGCCCACACAGCGGTCATCCACGATGTCCTTGGCAGCAGGCAGTACCACCTGCAGGTCTGCAGGCCCCTTCTATCCCTGAATGCCTTTTTTCCATCCCTGGGCCTGGTGGGGTGGCCACGAAGGTGGTTTGGGGCTGCTCAAAGTGGGGCCGGGAGGAGGAAAATGGAAGACTCTTGGATAGGAAGATGGGAAATTCCTCCAGCCAAACAGCTCTGGAGCTCCCAGGTGCTTCTCTCCTCCTTCCCAGGGTCACGCAAATGCCATCTCATGCCTGTGTGTCAGTGAGGACAGGCGCTGGGTTGCCACTGCTGACCAAGGTCCAGACCCTTTGGTCATCATATGGGATGCCTTTTCTGGGTGAGCCTCCATGCAAACCTTCCGTCTCCTTCATAGGGACAACACTGTCTGTTTAACATCCCATTCCAGCAGACACCCTCCTGTCTGCACATTCTGCCAGGAGCCCATGATGGTTTTTCCACACAGGATCCCTGTGCGCACCATCTTTGACAGCCATGCAGGCGGTGGGATCTGCGCTATTGCCATCTCCCAGGATGCAAGGTGTTTGGTTACCATCAGTGCTGGCATGGTGCAGGTGAGGATATTTCCTCTTTGTGTTTCCTTTTTCAAGGGTTTTCTTGTGGGTCTGTCGAGATCTTTCTTGCTAAGCCGTTGGGGGATAGATTGGGACTTCATTAAAAGGAATGCTGCAGAGCTGAGAGAAGGTCTGAAATTGGGATGAAAACTTCTGACTCTGCTGTACTCACGTTCAGGCAGCTCCTCACGCTGTTTCCTGAAATTAAGCCATCCAGCCATGCTGGGTTATCCTGCTCCAGCCTTTTTAGCCCCTCATGCTCTGCAGCTGGAGGGGTTGGGGCTTTACTCAGCCAAGCTGGAAATTCTCAGGAGGCCACAAACATCTCCTGGTTTCTCCCCATGCCAGAGGGTCTGTGTGTGGAGGTGGACATATCCTGATGAGAGCCCCGTGTGTGACGTGGAGCTGAGCCCTGAGTTTGGCTTCCAGGTGAGGAAGCCACACTTTGCTCAGTGAAAGAATAAGCTGGAAATATCACTGCTTGCTATTAACGTGACTCTCACCCTTTGATTACAGGATTTTGTCATTTTTAATCCCCAAAATCCTTATGAGTTTGTCAGCAACAGCAAAACCCAAGTGATATTTTATCTGTGGGTGAGTAGGACCACAAAAAGTTCATCTCCTGGTACCTGATGTGCTCCCTACCTCTCCCACTCATGCTGCCATGGGTGTTTGGGTGCCTCTGGTGGTCACAGCTTCTGGGAGAGGAGCAGGGGTGGGGAGATGCATTTCCATGGGCTCTGAGAGATTAGAGAAGGTAAATGTCTTTGTGTGGATACATGCTCTGCTCTCTCTGCAGGGCGATGCTGGTTTGCAGTACAGCACTCCTTCTTTGACCAAGCAGGTGAGCGCATGGGGAGCCACAGGGACCCACAGCAGCCCTGTCCCTTCCTGTCCCCCTGTGCCAAAGTGGTGGCTGTGTCCCCAGTCTGTCCCCTGGGTTTCTTAAGGGGACAAGAAAGATTGCCCAAGATAAGGCCAGGAGTGGCATCTCCTGCGTACATCATTCTATCACAGAATGGGTTGGGCTGGGAGGGAAGCTTAAAGCCCATCCAGCTCCAACTCCTGCCGTGGGCAGTGTTGCCAGCCACCAGATCTGGTTGCCCATGGCCCCATTCAGCCTGGCCTTCCGGGGCTCTACTCCCAGTGGCCACGTGCTGGCGATGGTCCCACCATGAGGCAGGGAGGGAATGTCACATGGAGGAACCAGACGGGGGCACCAGCACCCAGCACTGACCCACCACTGCTCTCCTGACAGACCTTTGGCAGCGCAATGGGGCACTTCACCCAGTCAGCTTTCCATTTCAACGCCACGCAGGTGCTGACGGGCACCTCGGCTGGGAAGGTGGTGGTGTGGGATGTGGAGAGAAAGCGGGAGCTGGACAAGGAACCGCAGGGCAGGGTGCATGGCATGAAGGCCACCAAGCTGGTGCCGATGCAGGAAGAAAGCCTGACAGCGCTGATGGTGCTGGAGAGGTGAGGAGATGACGTCGTCTGTACGGTACACTCCTTGGGAAGCTCGGGGCTTGGCCGTGGGCTCGGAGCTGTGCTCGGCCTCCGGGGCTCTGCCGGCAGAGGGAGCAGACGGTCTCCGAGCAGCTCGGGTTGGGGCGCAGCGCTTCTGTGCTTCTCGTGCTTTTGGGCAGAGAAAGGGCAAAAGGGAAGAGATCTTCCTTGACTTAGCGAGTTCCCCGTTGCGAGTAAATCTTTCCAGGATATTCTGATGGCTTCATCACACTGTGCTCCTCACGGTCAGTTTTTATCTTTCCCATGGGTTGCACTGGTGAAACAGTGCAAGAACAGGATGGACCTGAGCCATTTGGAGCACAAATTCTCCCACCCAATAACACTGTGCTTCCTTCCTTCCAGCTGCATAGTGACAGGGGATGTGAGAGGCCAGGTGAAGTTCTACAATGGGCACCTGCAGCTCCTGGCCTGCTATGACCACAGTGGTATGGGTCCCATTCGATCCATCTCCTTCTCCAAAGCTCCTCCAGACTCTCCAGCTGCCCCTTCTACCAGCAGCCACCCCTTCGCTGCTAGGTGAGCATCCCTGTGTAAATGCAGCTCTTCTGCATCCTCCAGCACTGGTCACAAAGTGTCCCCAGCACATCCCCGGCTATGAACTGGCTGCCACGTCTCAGTGCTGGAGAAGTGTTAATGCTGGCATGGGGACAGCTAGCTGGGCATGGAGCCGAGCAGCTTGTCACGCAGCTGGTACACCATGCAGGGCTAATGCTGAGCCCATGGCTCCCACCAAGCCCCTTAATCCCCTGCTTAACCCTCCCCCAGGTGGCTATTTCGAGTTGTATTTTGTCACTGCTGGGTGAGATAATCCAGGTGGTGGTGAGGAGAATGCACGGCCTGGGGGCTTGGGGCAGCAGCACCACAGGGTGCCTGAGGAGCTCTGTGAAGTCTGCAAACCAGATGCTGTGTTGTTTTTGGGGCTGCAAACCACATGTCTGTTAGTCCTGCCTGAAGTTCTGCTGGCAGCATTTATCTGTAGCTGCTCGTTTTTCCAAAGAGCCACGTGGGACGGGTTTCTTTCTAAGATGGAGCCCTGGGAGGTGTCTTTTATCCCACACCAGTTATTGCTGTAGCCTCAGGTATGTCACCATGCCCCAGTTCCTAGGTTCACCCCTGATCTTCTATCAGAATCCAGGCTTCATCCCTGGGTGTGCTGATGGCAGTATGCACTTATTCTGTTGTACATGTGGTCATTTAGATGCCTGCTTTGCCCGCTGCCAGTCATACAGGACCATCATCACCATGCTGCAGCTGGGAGGGCTGAATGCACAACTGCAGGCTGCTGTCCACATCACAGCTCCTACGCTGTCCCCTGTCCTCCTCCATGATATTATGGCCAAGTCAGAGACCCTACCTATTGTGACATGTGACAGGACTATTCGGGGAACCCTCAATCTCTCATTTGTCCATCTCACACATCAACAAGCCTCAAATGGCAAAAGCTGACCAGATGTTCTTCTGCCTTGCATACCCTAGTAGAAAAGGGAGCTCCAGTGTCTTCTGCTGGAGACTTCTCAGGTCGTGAACACAAAGTGCCACCTGTCTTCCAGGTCAAGAATTCTTTGCATATTTTGTATTAGAACATATCACGACTGTCCAGCTAAGTTGCCAAGAAGAGGCTATGTAACATTGCTCAGAGGGATATGAGCCAGCTAGTCTGATTCATCTAATTCTGTTTTTCTCACACCAAACAGGAACTTTATCCTTTCAACCTCTGATGCAACAGTGCTCCGTGTTGCGACAGATGGGACAGACTTTGAAAAAGTCATGAAAGAGGCCAAGAAAGCAGTGACTGCCATTGCATGCCATCCTCAACAGCCACGGCTTGCCGTGGGCAGTCACTGCGGGCTGATGAAGGTGTGGGACTACCAGCAGCCCCAGCTCCTCATGAGCAGGATATTCCCCAGTGCTGGAGTGCAGTGCCTGTCCTATGATCCTGCAGGTATCTTGGAGCTGTGACGTCCCGAAGTACCAAGCATGGAGGTGGGAGTGCATTGGGATTTCAGCTTTCTGCTGGGCTTTGCAGGCTCCTTCCTGGCCGCCGGTTTCACCGATGGGAGTGTGCATGTCCTCGATGCCATTTCCCTGCTGTCCTGCTGTGAGGTGTTCAGGTTCTCGCGGGGCCCCATAACTCACGTCCAGTTCTCCCATAACTCCGAGTACCTCGCAACTGCTGTAAGCTTGCTCACTCCTTCCTGAGGTGTACATGTGTATGTGCTGTTCCTGGTGCAGCCCTAGGAGCTGGGAAATGCCACGGGCTCGTGCTGCACTGACTTCTGCACTCTCGTTCCAGGATGAAAAATATGCAGTGACCGTTTACAAAAGGGTTCTGCAGAATGAGCGTAGGTGCTGGGAACACCTGGCAGGGCTGCACTCCCACTACAAGCCCATCCGGAGCATCCTGTTTGGGATCCACCTGGACGGCAGCGAGCCCCGGCTGCTGAGCCTTGGGGAGGACAGGCAGCTGGTACAGCTGTGGGAGGACAGCACTGGGGCTTTGGGCTTGAGGTGGGGCTGGAGGAGAGTGTGGAGGGACACTCAGCCTGTGACTCTGCAGCTTCCCACCAGTTCCAGTTGTTTGTCAGCCTGGCAAACTGGGGCAGATCTGTAGTTGGGATGATCTGGGTTTCAGGGTGCTCACCCTCAGCAGCTGCTCCTTGTGGTTAATCCATCAGGTCCACTGTGATGGCAGGTCACTGTGCTTCCTGGTCTTTCCCCCAGATTGAATATGACCTGAGCAGCAGCAGCAAGGACCAGCTGGTGGTCCTGCACAGACATCGTGTAGAGCAGGCTGCAGTGCCCCTCTGCTTGGCCTGGTATCCACATTTCAGCACCGAGTCCTTCATCCTCACAGCCAACAGCTGCTACAAAATGAAGCTCTACAATGCAACGACCAAAATGTGCAGGTAGAGAGCCTTCCTTCTCAGCAGATCATGGCTGCAAGTCACCTCAGTCTGCCCATGGACTTGGGATGCAGCAGTCGGACACAAGATGGTATGATAGGAGCCCACAGAAGCAGCAAAGAATGATCTCTGAGCACTACATTTCTCTCTTAGCTCTGATGTGGTCCCCTCTAGACAGGGATCATGTCCTGTCCTGGTGTTACAAAACCCCACACCTTCCCTCATCCACCTATTCTGGTGCGCCACAGACATTCAGACATGGGAAAATACATTGTGAGAATGGGTGACAATGTTGTTTGCCTTTAGAAAGACTCTTCTGGGACCAACCTATGGCTCGCCATTGGAGAAGATGCAAATCCTCCCAAAGAGTGCTGCACAGCCCCAGAAGCACTACCTGGCATACATTACCAAGGACAAGGTGTGGGGCACCAACATTCTGCCATCTGTGTATTTGTGGAGCATTTTGGGCTTGGCTGGGGGGCTGAAGGAAACCTGCCCTTGTAGGGACCAGAGAAGTGAACACCTGCAGAATGGAGGCATTTAGAAACTCCTTCCTTTAGACAAGGCTGGTCACTGAGGGCACGGTATTGGTTCGGCCTTCCTGAGCAGCCTCTGCCCTCACCATCTGCTCTTCCCATACAGGTGGGCCTGCAGATTCTGCCCATTGATGGCAACCCCCACAAGTCCTCAGCTTTCATTTGCCACCCAGATGGTGCCTCTGACCTGGCCGTCTCCTACGATGGGCACTACATCTTTACGGCTGGGGGGAGTGACCGCACTGTTCTAAAGTGGGAGGTGAACCTGAAGTGAGTACCACAGAACGGAGAAGGGAGCCTGGAAGTGGCTTTCCACAGCTGCTTCACGCAGCCAACAGTCAATGGGGAGCTGACCTAGCTGCTAGTGGCTGTTGTCAGTGACTGAGCACCTACAAAATACTGCGGTCTGGGAAATGCCAAATGCCAAGACGTGGAGGGTTGTCTGGTCCTTGTGAGAGCCTGGCTGCTGCGATGGGGATTGCCTGGGGTAGAAGATCAGGAGGGAGCATATGGTACAAGTACAACAAGTCTGCTCTCCAAATGGGAGAGGCCAGCATTTGTGAGGAAATCCCTGCTGCATTTGAAGGCTGGATTTAGCACAAGCCACTGTAATCCTATAAAGCTTTGCTTACATGAGTAAGAGGACTGCAGAAAATGGAGTGGCTGAGGTGCCCTGGGCTCTGGTCCATGATGCCAGGACATGGGTTTCTGTTGCTTGCCTTGTCAAGGAGACCGGTTGCCTGATGGGTGTGCACTTGAGAAGGGAGCAGCAGCAGCCAGTGACCTAAAAACAGCTGTAGTCTCCTATTTTTGCCTTTGGGGTGCACTGACCCTCTGAAATGCCTTTCATCTTCCAATGAGGAAGGCTCTGCTGCTAAGCACAGGGTGGTCCCAAATAAGATGCTTCCTGCAGGTGCTGCTCGCAGAGCTGAAGGTTGCAGAGCTCACTCACCTCTACACACCACAACAGTGAGACCTGGCTGCGAAGGCACCAGGCTTATTTATTTTCTTTTCCACTTTGTGTGGCTTAAGCAGTCGGGGGTCAGAATAAGCGACGTTTTAAGGAAGGCAGTGGAATATAAACGATTCTTCTTTATAATGGTTGGCCAGAGTCCAGGCAACATTGAATTTCTGTGTAATTTGTTTTTGGAGCGGACGTCTTGATGAGCTAATTATCATTTTATTGCTGCTCCTGGCATCTTGCGCATCTCCACTGTGTTTAATACCCAAATAACTTAATTATGAAAAAAGAATGAAGCTAGCAAAAGCTGAAGCAGCACTATGGAGCTGTGCATCAGAGCTGCAGCCCTGCTACCAGCACTCGGGCTGCTTTGGCTTAATATGTGCAGCACCTGTGGCACCATCACTCGCTCTTGTACTGAGTTATGGGGGAAGAATGTGTCAGACCAAGGAGTGGGGAGCTTGGCTTCGTGTTGTTTCTTGCAAGCACCAAGCCCCAGTGCTCCGCATGCTCAAAATGCTGATCCAGCCAATTCATCTCCCTCAGTGTCTCTATAAGGAAGCAGGAAAGCAGAGTGCCAGATACCCAGCTCAAGTCCATGGAAAGGCTGCTGGCTCCCCGCCCTGTGCTCATTCCACTAAACAAGAGGACCATTCAGCAATAGTTAATTCCCACACTGTGCTATTGTATGTAAAACCTGGGTATGAAATATGCTGTAGAAGTGCAGGCTGGTGATAAAATTGCACGTGGTTCAAAGCAGTGCCTCCCCTTCCTGCGTCCTGCAGCCTGGGGATTTTATTTATTTATTGAAAGTGTCTCCAAACAATGACTAGAAAGGGAAATGAGAATTCTCTCCCTGTGTGAACCCTTCCTGCACCGCCTTCTCTCTGTGCCAGTGCCTTGGAAGCTGCTGCATCCCTGGGTGGGGAGGACCTGGTCCCGTTCTACAGACTGCTGGAGGGCGGCCTGGACGGTGAATTCTTCAGGGTAATTGCGCTCACTGTGATCTCCGTGCTGCAACATCTGGTTGGAGTTTAAGATTCATTTATACAGGCCTGACATTTCTTTATTTTTTGTCCAGATTGCCTTTAACAGCGGTCTCATTGATATGACTGTTAGTAAATCTTAAATGAAGCCTTATCTTCCTCGCCTGTTGGTAGCTGAACTTTACAGTATCTCGTTTGAATCCCTCACAGGAGCTGGAAGACTATTTCTACTATGTGCAGCTGCACAGCCATGGCATTGATATGCTGGAGAGCAGGCAGGTGTCAACGTACATTCCCTTGGAGGAAATTCCTTCTGTAATGAGAGCAATGGGTTTTTACCCATCTGAGGAAGAGGTCAGTCCTTTGTTTTTATGGTTGTGCTTAAATTTAAAACAAAACAGAACAAAAATACACACACAAAAAAACCTCAAAAAATGAGAATGATTGCATTTCAGATTGGGCACTAGGATGAAATCATTCACCCAAAGGGCTGCCAGGCACTGGTACGGGCTGCCCAGGGAGGCAGTGGGGTTGCTGTCCCTGGAGCTGCTCAGGAAAGGTGTGACATGGCTACTGGGCATAAAGGGCATGGATTTGGGCTGGACTTGGTGATCTTAGTGGTCTTTTCCAACCTTAATGATTCTTTGACTTACCGAGTGCCCTAGGGCCAGATTCAGATGTTAGGCATATTAGAAGGCTCCAGGGAATATCCACTGTGCTTTGCTCCCTCTGTGACTTCCAGGAGCGTTTGAACTTGTTCACGTCTTGTTGGGCTGTGCGCTGAGGCTGTGGCTATTAGGAGTACCACCAGGTCAGGTCTGAATCCTCCATGCAGTACACTGTGGGTAGAAGCACTCAGTTCTGTGATTCTGGGTGTTGACAGAGCATCTTTTTCTTGTTCTGCCTTGGGTTGCTCAAAGAATAATTTTAGATGGAGCCAGCAGCCTTTATTCCCATGGAACTTAAAGCTTTTTCATAACTGATAACTGCAGACGCTCTCTCTGAGCTTGCCTTTCAGGCTGCAGCAGTGGAGCTTCCTATCAAACATTTCTCAAAAGCTTTTCAGCCTCAGATTTTACAGCAGGCAAAGACAAGCAATTTAATAAGGGTTCTACTGCTTCTCTCTTTGTAGCTGTTTCTACGAGGCTGTTTGCATTGTATACAGACCTAATTTGTAATGTTACAACCTGGTAAAAGGGCAATTAAAGCACATATGAAAAAAAAATAATTGCTGAATCTGAAGTAAGGAGATTTAAACAAGCTCCTCGAGCCCCCTACAGCCCTACAATGTACAAGAGGTTCCTGGGGGAAGCAGCACATCCCTGTGTTCCTCCCTCTCCCCCCCAACTCCCCAGGGATGTTCTTCCAAGCTGGAACTGCTTTGTCCTTGTGTCAGGCTGTGGTGTCATTCCCTTGCAGTTTGTTTGAACTTCTCCTTGGCTCATTGTATTTTTTGCCTCCTGGGGACAGAGAATAGGTATTCCTCTGGGAAATGTCTCTGGAGGAATGGCTGTTAGCCCTCCACTCAAATCAAAACCACAACACTATTTCAGGAATGGAAATAAGTGCTAAACTGCTGCTGAGTGTAGGCAACTGACAATCTGCTTTCCAAAGCAGGCAGGACAGCATTAAAATACAGAAAGTCTGTCTCTCTCTGGAGTGTTTTAATAAAGGAAAAACAGAAGGGAGAAAAAAGCAGCTTGGACTGAGTAGCGAGGCTTTTGGGAATTGGTGTTTTTCCTTTGTAGTTCAGTGGGGCTGATATAAAACCTAATCCCAGATCAGCTAGAGCTGACTCAAATTGGCTATTCTCACCTGGCACGGTGTTTGCTGCAGGAAAAAAAAAGAGAAAGCTGAGATTTCACTCTTCCCTGGGCTTCATTCAGTGGAAAAACTTGTGACAAGAGGACAAAGGCCCAAGGCTGAACACAAAGTTCTCCCCAGGGAAGTCTTGCATCAGCTTCCCCTCCTGGGGCAGCACGTTCAGTGCACACTGGCATGGGAAACTGATTGTGTTTGTGTGAGGGGCTGCTCCATTGGGCATGAGCACATGGAGGACACTGAGCAGAAGCCCTAAGGAAAACCACAGGCACTAAGCACGGCTGGTCACCAAGAGCAGAGCAAAAGACCCAGCTGCTCCTGTCAAGGCGGGTACAATAAGGGGGCACAAGCGCCAGTACCCGCAGGGGTGTGTGGTTGCCCTCTGCAGCCTGCTTAGGTCAGGACTCCATGCACAGTCTTCTCTGGTGGGCTGGTGAATTTACCGCCCTGTGGTTTGCTGCCTGCGGTCCCCAGAGTGCAGGCACAGCTGCGGCAAGGGTACGGGTGACAGCTGCGAAGTCACGGGGTGCTCTCGTCGCTCAGTCCCTGGGGAAGGTTTCTTCCCCATCTCACATTAGTAACATGTAACAACCAGGGCAAAATGCTTTTCTGAAAGGGACAGAGACAGGCCAGAATTCTGCAGGAATTACGCTGTTGCATTATCGCAGTTTTGAGCAGAAAGATCTCACTGACCCTTGCTTCATTCTAGAATAACTCACTGGCAACACTGAGGACAATCACACACACACTAATAGAGGAAATCCAAACTAACTACATATTTGCTACCGCCATCTTTAGCTAAGGTCGTAAGAACGAGCACATAACCGTTCGTCATGTCCACCCTCAGCTGCTGAGCTGATCGCTGGGCTGTGGCTGTGACACCTGCAATGCACACAGTCATGGTACGCAGCCATTTGTGGCACTGGAAGCTGGCCCGATGCCCTTCAACAAGTACATGTGTAACAGTCTTTCTCGCCTTCATTTTCAGATCGAAGAAATGATAAATGAAGTAAAATTCAGTGAGTTTGTGGATACCGGAGAACAAGTGACAAAAATCAATTTAAGGGATTTTATCAAACTTTATATAAATCATCGGCCCGCGTTTGGCTTGTCAATGAAAACAGTACAACAAGCATTTCAGGTCCTTGGTTATGAGAATGAGAATGGCGACAAAGTTATTGACAGAGGAGACTTGCTGTCACTCCTACAGTGCAGGGGTGAGTTATTTCTTTTCTGATATTAGTTTTACGCTTGCTTGTTCAGTCTTCAATTTCAGAATGTATTCACTGCAGCAAAAAATTAATGTGAAACTATAGCTTGGTAACCAGGGCAGGCATGGGGAGCCACCCGCCTTAGGATTTTAAATTGAATGATCACGCCTGTTGTCTCAGCTGTACTTCTCTTGCTGCTCTGGAAATCTCTGCTAGCCTGAAGGATCTCATCTGTCAAATGATGAGCACGGATCTTGGCAGATCATATCTTCCTCTAGTATACCCCTATCCAAATTAGCATCATCTTCACCAGTCACGTAGGCTCCAGAAAGGTTACAGAAAGCTGGGATGAAAATGGTCAGCCTTGGACTGAAATCTGAAAAGATGTGTTGGTTTAATTCAGCTGAATCAGAAAGAATGGCACGAGTATACATATAAACGTACTTGTAGCCAATGCCAGAGTGATAGATCATGTAGTCCTAATGGCATGCTCCTGCTGTCAAAAAAGAGAGATTTTGGTGAAGCTGAACACTAAAATGGGTAAAGGGAAGTGCTTCTTTTACTCAGTACATCACCTGCTAATACTTACAACAAGGATCTGTGTAAACCAAGGACTGAAGCTTGTGGGAAAGGTTAGTTATTTATATGGATGGTGTGAACATCCATAAATAGATAATTAGATAGGATAGAACAGTTTCATAACAGATCTATAACCTCATGCTTGAGGACACAAGCCAGCCACTAGCTGGGAACAAACACTGTGTTCAGATCTCCCAGGATATTAGATTATGACTTTCCTGCTCAGGCTTTTTCCTCCTCTGTGCAGAAATGTCTGCTGGCATAGGCACAGGTCTACATGGTCCGTGTTTTGTCCTGGGCCACAGATTCTTCAGTGGGAACAGGAGCTCAGGCTCCTGCAAGCACAAAGTAGCCTCAAGATCTGTATGCATCAGAGTTTCTCCATTTAATAGATATTTTTGCCCCAAATCCATGCAAGATACAAGAACCATTTTCCTTGGAATTGGTATTTTCCAGTGATCACGTGTGTCAGTTGGTGACATGGTCCATGACTTAGGAAAACCTAATCTTCCAAACTACCTATTTTGTTTGTTCACAGTTCTTGCAGTTTTTGTGCTGATGACACCGTAACCCAAGGGGCTGCTTTTGTTTTAATGCATACAGGAGAGCATATGATGGAGGATGAGCTGGCACTGTGTCTGTCTGCCCTGCTAGGAAGGCATCCAATGGGAGGAAGATCTGACCTGGATGTACGTGATCCCTCAGGTAGGAGATCAGCATTCTGCAGTGCACAGAGGCAGGACTGATTCAATTCCCAAACAAAATGATTTAAATTGCAAGCCCATTACCCTGTTAGGCCAAGAGCTGTCAAAAACACTCAGGATTGCAAGAACAGATACAGACCCATATGTTGTGCTTCATCCATGCAACAGTTGTATGGGTGTACCTAAAAATAAGTGAACAACACAATGTAACTGGAACCTGACAGGGTAACATTGCTGTTAATCTGCTGGATTGAAAATGGAATTGCAAATGCGCAGTGGAAGGTTTACACGCCAAAGGCAAAAAGAAATTCTACCGCATGCAAATTACAGCATTGATTTCACCCAAGCAGCAGTACATATTGTAACAGAATGACCACATCTGTGTACCTTTCATGTGCTAGCCTACGCCAGCCTAGAACAGGAACCCTTATACTGCACACACACAGTGCAGCCCCTGCATGCTTTTGGGATCACAGGATCTCATCAGACAATGGAGTACAGTAGCTGTCTTCAGTCCCTTGACTCTTCTGAGGTGTTGGTATCCACTGCAAAGTGAGACAGCCCACAGACTTGACAGTGTTTCCCTGATAATGTGTGATGTACTAAGCTAGTAAAGCAGTACTTCGTGATTACTGCATACATTGCTAAAAGCATTCAATTCACTTACTGCTACTTATAAGTTTTGTTGTTCTGGAATGCCATTTTTACACCACTCTCGTGTGTCTCGTGTTGTTGTCATTACTGCTTTCCAGGTGCAGCAGCTCTGATGGAAGAAGAAATTCCAGAGCAAATCACAGCAGAGAGATTCACTGCCGGCATTCTTGGCCTATCCATTGCTGAACCAGAAAAAAGAACAGTAAACTGAGATGGATAATTCATCTGTGAAGACTCAGAATTGTAGCTGCCACTGTTTTCTACTCTTTCTACTTTCCAAACTCCTCATGTACCTGTGAAATACATATTATATGCTTATTAAAAACTGTTGCGTAGCTTCAGATTATTCGAACTGCAGGCTATCCCCCTGTTTAGCACATGCCACAAGCCTATGGGAACAAATCTATTTCCCAATTGTACGTGCTCCTAATACTGCACCCTCTGTTCTGACACAGCAGAAGGTTTTCATTTGGAAATATCTTTAGAAGCATTTCTGCTGCCAGGGCATGGCCCACACTTCCAGTGCCCCCTTCCACAGAACTGGCTGAAACGTGGCCTGGGTAAACAAGTTGCTTTCCAGAAAGGATCTTTGCAGAAAGCTGCATGAAAGCTCCGTTTCTAAAGACCTCTACCTGAGTTCACTGAGCCTTTGGAGAACATGGGTTTGTAGAGCATGGCACAGTGATTGGTACGCTGTCTTTTTGCATGGATCACCCCTATCCCCAGCTAGAGCCTTCTTAGTATTCTTTTCAGGTGGGCTTTATACCAGATGCAGTCTGTTTCCATTATGCAAAGGGGGTATTTATTTGTGAAACCCGACAGCAAAAAAAAACCTATACAGAAGTATTGATTAGATACACTGGTAAATGTTCTGTGCAAAATGCTTGGATAGGTATGAACAGATTTGTAACTACGTGGACAAAGTTGCCAGCAAGAACACTGTGATATACATTCAAACCAGTTTTCTATTTTGGCCTTTAAAACTTTGTTTTCCTTTCTGCAGCAGCTCCAATTAGCAGCGTAATACCAATGGGACAGCATCTTACGGTGTTTGTATAAACAGCATAATGAGGCTGACACAAGTTGCCGTGGAAAGATCAGTGAAGTGCTGTTGAACACGCTTCCTTCTTTACATCATCCTCAGCATCAATTTGAATAATAATGCGGGCCCTCCAGAAGCGTTCCTCTCAGTGGCAGTGTTTTTTAAACAGAGATCGCTGCTCGGCGCTCTGGAAGCGTCTGTGGTCGTGCAATTAGCACGGTGAGGTGTGCGCTGGTTTATGAGGAGGTCCAGCAGCACGGTGCTCGGTACCGGGGGTCTGAGATGCGCATCTGTGTCAGGAGGAGAGGTCGTGTGGGGGAGCAGCTGAAGGTCGTGGCTTTGCTCGGCATGGAGGGGGCCGAGGGGAGGCTGAGGGGAGGCTGCGTGGCGGCCTGTGGCTCCTCATAGAGGAGCAGAGCGGCAGGTGTACGGCTCCATCTGGGGACCGACGACCCAACCTGAGGTAACAGCGCGGGGAGGGCGGCTATAGGGAAAAGGTTCTGCACCAGAGGGCACATAGCGGGCTCCCCAGGGCGCGGCCCCAAAGCGCTGGAGATCGGGGACAGTTCGGACAACGCTCTGAGGCATAGGGGCTGACTTTGGGCTGTTCCTGTGTAGAGCCTGGGGCTGGACTCGATGATCTACAGAGTGCCTTTCAACTCGGGGTGTTCTACGGCTCTACGGCTGTATCGCTGCTCGCGTTCTCACAGAAACAGCCGGAATCACTTGAGGCAGCTGAGAAACCCGACAGCCACCGCGTGTCGCGGAGCCGCGAGCGTCCCATCCCGCGCAGATGTTTGGCTTCGCAGGAAACCCTTCGTCCTCCGCCAACAAAGCCGCCGTCCGCCGCCATCGGCGGATCTCCTCGCGGCGCCCCTCCCTCCTCGCGCGCGCGCGGGCTGCCGGCGGCGGAGCGGGCTGCGCGTGCGCAGCGTGCGGGCCCCGGCGGGCGGGCGGAGCCGAGCGGCGCCGAGCGGAGCCGAGCGGCGCCGAAGCGAGCCGAGCCGTGGGAGCATTGTGCGTGCGGGCAGGACGGAGGGACGGACGCCGCGAGCCGCGCCGAGCGCCGCATTCCCGCTGCTGAGGCCGCCGCCCTGCCCCTCCCCTCCCTCCCCGAAGCCCCAGCAGCATGTCGGGCCGGTCGGTGCGGGCCGAGACCCGGAGCCGGGCGAAGGATGATATCAAGCGGGTGATGGCGGCCATCGAGAAAGTGCGCAAATGGTGAGCGGGCCGCGCCGCGCCGGGACCCCGCGCCGCTCCCCCTTCCTCTCCCCAGCGCCCCGCGGGGGCCCGAGCCCGGCGGGCGGCCGCGGGGGGCGGGGAGCGGCGGCACCCAGAAGCCATTTCGCCGCTGCCCGTCACTCGGAGGCGGCGGCGGCGGCGGCGTGAGGCGGCTCCATTGTGCGGCCGACCCCCGGCCCGGAGCCCGCATCGCCCCGGAGCCCCTCGGCCGGGCTGTGCGCGGAGGGCTCCGTGCGGCACTGCTCCTCGGGAGCGTCCTTCTTCTCAAAGAGCGTTCCGAATCCGGCTGTGAAACTCCACCAGCCCGCTCTTAATTCCCACGTATCCCTTAACCCCGCAACTTTCCGAGCTGTGCGTTAAGCCAACAACTTCGCGAGGTTTGTGGAGCTTCGCGGGCGCCTCCCCGCGTAACGCCGTGCGGCCGCGACCCCGAGCGAAGCAGGAGAGGGAATACGTGCCGCCTGGTTTGTCCTGTTGTGTGTTTAAAGGCTGGAGCGGCACTTTCCTTAGGCCTGCATCGTGTTTGGGCATTTTCTCCTTTTGTCTTTTTTTTTTTTTTTTTTTTGCCTGCTTGTATCGTGGGAATCAGTACGAGGTGTTGGAACGATGTGCTCGCACTGTTGTTGCGGTGTTTCCAGGTGGGATAAGGAGCTGTGCCACCCTGGCCCTCTTTCTCCCACTGAGTTGGAGTCTTTGTGTCTTTTGTGTGGAGCTTTGAAAGCGTTTAAATGTTTGAAACCCATAGCGAGCCTTGTCTTTCTGTGACAAAATAAGGAGTGTTTCTGTTACCGTCACAGATGCCGCTTAGGTTTTGTTAAAAATAACAGAAATAGGCATGCTTGCTTTTTCTGGAGGCATGGATTTGTTGCTTCTTGAGCACAATTATGGGCCAGTTGGCCAGAGCTGCACAAAGGACAGAACGTGTGCCTGATAATGCCGGGCACGGGATGGGGATTTCAGAGAATCCACCCGTTGTGTATGGAGCCGAGCAGCCCGGCAGTGCAGTTCGTGTTCAGGAACTCTCTTCTGCTTGCTGCTGTTTTTAAGAGCTGTTTGTTTAATGACGGGTCAGCTTCAAAGGGTTGGAACCGCGTGCAGTGATGAGACGGTGCTTCTGATCACACAGCCACGTTGTTGGCTGTGTCGGACTGTACTATTTTGGATGTAGGTATTTCATTCATGAACGCAGCTTACCTCCTTTGAGTCCTGGTTTGTGGATGTTGGAGAGGGGCAGAAGCAGGAGTTGATCGTTCAAAAGATTTGTCTGGTTCTTTTTCCCTCGGTGAGGGCACTCTGCTGTCAAGTCAGTTGCTACGGCTTCACCTGTGAAACAAATCTTATGGCATTGATAGATTTTGTATGCTTTAACCCTCACCAGAACCACCTTGCTTTAAGCATGAGTGTCTAAGCTTTGGGATTGTCTGGGCTGTGTTGGGTGAAGAAGAATTGTCTTGGCCCACAAATAAAAAATGTGTATAAGTATATATGTATGTAAGTAACAAAACTTATTTTTATTAAAACTTTAAAGAGGGCAGCGAAACCATGAAACTAATAGATTGGACAAGTGTGCAGTTTCAAGGGTTACTGCACAGAATCATGCAACTATCAATCTATAAATCTATCTATCCATTTCTTCTCGTTATGGTTAGAAGTATTCATGTGGCTTTTTGTGTGTGCATCTCACAAGTATCTCCTTGAACCATTTTTCCTATTTTTTAAGGCAGTCATGGATTGATGGTGAATCTCATGATTCCCTCCTACCTGCAGTCAAGAACAGTGGGGAAATTAGCCAGTGTTCTGAGGTTTAAGAACACTTGTGTTTTGAGAAGACTTGTGCTGTGAAACTGAACTTTATGCACCAGGAATTCTTGCGTCTTGAGAGGAGCCACATAGGCAATTTCAAGTGTGCATTTTCATTTGCTTAATGGGAGTAATTTGTTGCCATCCACGGCTCTTCTGTGGAGATGCAGCCGCTGAAGATTAGAATACTTTGCATACAACAGAGTTTTCTGGGACACGAGCACTTGGAGTGCTGCATTTCTGAACCAAACAGGAGCAGAGTCAGGTTGTGCATACTGTGAATGTTGAATGGCTCCAGTGCGTGCTGCCCTGCTTTACTGATGTGGGAAGGCAGCCTTGCTTTGCAGTGCTGCTGTGTGCTCCTGTTGCCACATCTCCATATGGGCACGTGGGAAATTGCTTTCCATCAGGGCAGACTCCATTCCTTGGAAAACACATATTGTATTCTTAGACAGTGTGCCCTACATTGCTTGTCTTCACGTGTTTGTAGGGAGCCTGGTGCTTCTGGTGTACTGCAGCTTGGCTGAGAGTAGTAAACAGTGAAGTTGTTAGGATTTTATCTTGAGATTAATGCAGCCTTATCTCCTTTGTTTAAACCACTCCCGTGAATGAGCTTCTATTTTAGAAAACATCTAGCACGTGTCTTGCAGGATACATGGTTGTGTTGCATTTATGTGGCAGCAGCGTTAAATCTTCATAACCGAGAGTTTTGAACTTTCTTTTTAATCATACTTACTTTTCTTTCAGTCTAGCTGGAAGAAAAACTAAGAATAAATGTAGTGATGTGAGATGTAAAAGGTACAGGGTTATTTGTGTTTTAAAGGTTGATAGGTATGTGCAGATTCTAAATAGTTCTCAACAAGAGAGGGGCAAAAAGTACTGTGCCCTCAGCTAGCATAGGAAAGCAGTGGAAATGCTCTCACAGATGCTGGATTTATTAAATGAAATAAAGCACAGTTTTTTGCAGAAGGAAGTGTGATGTAGCAGGCAAGTACTGGAGTGCTGAACTTTGGGACAGATGCACAAACATTTCTGCCCCAATTTGGCTGCTGGGAATAGGGATCCTGGTTGAGAGAATGCAGCAGGATGAGGAAAACTCATTGTACTGACTTGTGATCGACTTGCAGGATCTTTGCATAAGTAATTTGGCCATTTTCTACCTCATTTATTGAAGCTTTACATCATGTCATAAAGAAGAGATGAGCTTGGACCACTGCTGGA